CATCCTTGTTGTACTCCTTTTCCTATGCTGAACCAATCAGTTGTTCCATATCCGGTTCTGACTGTTGCTTCTTGGCCCTTATACAGGTTTCTCAAGAGACATGTGAGGTGGTCTGGTACTCCCATCTCTTTAAGGACCTGCCATAGTTTGTTGTGATCCACACAGTCAAAGGCTTTAGCATAGTCAATGAAGCAGAAGTAGATGTTTTTCTGGTACTCTCTTGCTTTCTCCATAATCCAGCGAATGTTGGCAATTTGATCTCTAGTTCCTCTACCTCTTCGAAACCCAGCTTGTACTTCTGGCAGTTCTCTATCCACGTACTGTTCTTCCCTTATCATGTTTTCTGGTTCTAGTGTTACCCTCCACTCTATGCAGTACTCTGATGACAAAACCATTCACTCCTCTCATTGTTCGGGCCATGGGATGACCATCTGTAAATGTCTTCATTGTCTTCCTGGCCACTCCAGTATCCAGCTCATAACTCCTCATTCTGAATTTCAGAGTATTCCATTAACTTTCTGCCCCTTTCTGTTTGCTCTTACATGCCAGTCCCTGCCCCAGACCTTCACTCTTCCAGCTCCACTACCGTCCGCTTTCTGGAGGTCTCCTGCTTCCTCAAACAATTCTGCCTTCTCTCCTTTGCTGCTCCTTAGATCTGCAGCAGCCTCTCCAAAAATCTGCATGATGCCTCCCCTCCCCTTTCCTTCATATTCCTCCTTACAACCTACCTTCTCCATAAAGCTTTTGTGGTGCAGCCCTTTAGCCTCCTTTGTCCACTGCTATTAAGCTTAAGTACATGCAAAAGGAATTAATTGATAGTCTTCCTTTTGTACTTCCTCACCTCCCCCATTGTCCCTTTGTGTCAAACTGTTGACTGTAAGCAGCTCAAGGCAGGGACATGTTTTCTTGCACTCTGAAGGCATTGCATACGTTTAATAACAATAATAAAAACAACAAGTAGAAGGATACATAGGTATGATAAAATCCAGCTGCTGAAAACAAGACTTCTGTGCTCATTATTATAAAACTATCCTACTGGTTACTGGTTCTCTCAGAATGCATATGCACAGCCTATGCATGATTGTGCACCAGCAAGAGATGGCATTATACCCTGCTGAAGTCTTTTCTTCCCTAAACCCTGCCCTCCCCAAGCTCCACCCCAAATCCTCCAGGTATTTCCTAAGCAGGAGTTAGCAACCCTACAGTGTCCTCCCACCATATCTCCACTCCAAAAGGTTCCTAAGTGGTTTTTCCTGTGTGGATATCTGTGTGTTAGCACATCAGTCCATTCTCTAGCGCTTCCACCTAAAGGAGCTAAGGTAGCATGTAACAGATGAAATCTTTTAGGCTGAGGCAGTGAAGATCTGCTACCAGTTGGAATAGAGGATACAGGTCTAGGTGGACCACAGATATCAGGCAGGACAAAAATGTTTATTTAAATTAAATAAATGACTTGGTATACCTGGAGGGGTGTGTGTGAGAGTGGTGATACATACCGTGGTGGGTACTGTGCACGCAACATCTTCCATTCTGTAACTTTGATGATGACAGCAGTTTTAGTCAAGTTCCACTGAAGTCAGATGGTCACAAGAAAATATTAAGGAACAGGATGTACCAAACAAGTTCTTTCAACACCATGGGGTGTAGTAAGCTGTAACTGAAAAGCTAAATATATATCCTCTGCTGCTATGCCTAAAGATTTGTGGTGTTTTCTGTCAGGCACAGAAGGCTTTCCCTTAAGCCATTCAATTAACATTCCAAACTAGTATCAGCAAAGAAGAAAGCAATGGTACACACATTTTACTGCCCTGTGTAGGTAAGACTGCAAGCCTAAGCCTTTGCTGTGAGGGAAGTCCCACTGAACTCAGTACAATTTTATTCTCAAAGAAAACGCACAAGGTGCGTGGCCAAAGTAAACTAAAAATGGCAAATTAATTGAACACATTCCAGTCCAGATTTCAAGTATTCCTCATAAATTGAATTCTGAAGTTTTCCTCAGAGGACAGATCAATAAATCCACACATCAGCAGCAGTTACAGCAAGGAGAGAGGTTTCAACAAACATACTTTGCAGAACATTCCAGAAAGTTTAAAAACAACGGTGCAGTTTAGGACTCTGAAGCAGTATGTTCATGGGTACACACAGCACGGTTTCAAAAGAAAAATGTGGACTGAGATCTCATGAGGTCCAGGTCAGAACTCTGGGCTAATCTAGCAACCCTGTACAGCCAGGCATTTAAAGAAAGTAGTTAGGAGTGTCTGAAGGGAGGGAGAGAAATTGCTAGTTATGAAAGAGCCGGAGAAGGTAGAAAGCAGCAGTGATGGTAGTAGATTGGGAGAAAAGACAAGGAGAAAGCAACAGGAAGCTCGATGGTGAGCAAGAGTAAAAGAAGTGGGGGCAAGTGGGAGGGATGGGAATTTCCATCTCACATGAGTCCTTGCAAGTCCCTACCTTTGATTATGTGTGTGTAAAGTGCCCTCAAGTTGCAGCCAACTCATGGCGACCCCAGCAACAGACGCTTAGCACAGCAAAACAAAATTGAGTGCAGCCACATGATCGGCATGATCAGAACAGCAGCCGGAACTAGCTGAGTCAATTTGACTCAGAGATCATTTCAGGCAGATAGATACTCTTCTGGGGTCCAAGAACCAGACACATTCCTAAAGTTATGATTAATTACTTTCCAAAGGTACATCCCACATCAGCTATTGGGATAAGTTAGCAAAGCTGATCTCTTCCAGCACCTTGGACCCTATACCTTGCTTCTGCTTGCGCTCTGTGCTGTCCTCGGTTGCAGAGGTGATCCTCCACTGCGGCGTGCATTCCTTCTGCTCAGGACGTTCCCACTCGTGCACTACTGAGCAGAAAGGACCTTAACGCCAGAGCAATGCGTTCTGCAGTAGAGAATGACAGCAACAAAAGGATGAAGAGCAGCATAAATGGCCATGATTAAAAGTAATAAAAAGGTGTTAAGAAGGTATGCACATTAATATAGTGCACTTAATTTTAGGTGTGTGAATTCTGTTAAATGACTAGTTAACAATGTGAGCCCGAAGAAATAGGACAGCTAAGTGATGTTTAGGATGACAGTAACATGAATCAATGTCTTACAAACATATGTACTTTTGAATGAAAAAATAACTGTTATTGATCCTGAAAAAAATCTCTCTTATACCTAGGGGCAAGCAAACGTTTATCTTATAATTATCTACACAGCATTTACGGTGAGTGGAGAGCCAGTTTGGTGTAGCAGTTTGGAGCACAGACTCTAATCTGGGAGAGCCAGGTTTGATTCCCCACTCTTCCACACGCAGCTGCTGGTGTCACCTTGGGTCAGTCATGGCTCTCTTTTACAGCAGATCTTGAAAGAGCTCTCTCGGCCCCACCAACCTCACAGGCTGTCTCTTGTGGGGACGGGAAGGGAAAGGACACTGTAAGCCACTCTGAGACTCGGGTAGTGAAGGGCAAGGTATAAATCCAATCTCTTCTTCTCTTTCTATTGTTAGTGAATATTGTCTGTGTCTAATAAAAGGTAAAATGGATGCAAAGACTCTTTAATAGGACTATAGTTGTGTTATACCTGAGGAGAACCTAGAATCATTGTCATAGGTGTTCTCCACGCAGGCAGGTTTGTGTAGTTTCTAGTTTCTCCATTGCTGCTGCAGTGCTGATACACCACAGTAGTACTGAGGCTTACACATGGCAGGTTTCCCTGTGCCAGTCCACAGCAGTGCCTCCACCCACACCACCAGGACTTTTCCAGGGTTTTTTTCCCCAATCAGTGATTGAATATTTATGATGATCTTGC